ATGGCAGTAGTAAGGCTCCGTGAATGAAGTGATTTGTCCAGTGACATTGCAGAGCCAGCACTAAATTTGATGCTCAAAATGGATTGCCTTATTACACATGTTGATTCCTAGCAAAGATGATGATTTTACATTATTTACTAGGTATCTTTAAAGAACCGAGGTGCCGATCTAATAGTTAGGGAATAGATGAGAGACTGGGCAATATAAGAGAAACTTTGATGATCTTACTTGAAGGAGAGCAGTTGTAATAAAACAGCTGTATTTATAGAGCACTGTTCTGTGCACCTTCCATGCATTGTTCCATTTGATCCCTATAGCAGTCTTAATAGATGAGTGCTATTTTCCCCCAGGTTATAAGGAGAAAATTGAGGCCCAGATAGGTTATGTAAATTAGCCCAAGATCACACAGCTGGTAAATGGCCATGCTGGTATAGGAATTCTGGTAGTCTCACTCTAGACTATACTTCATAGCTATACTAGACTGCTTCCTTGTATAGCAGTAGGAGATTATGTCATTAAGCTAACCTCCTTAGATTCTGAAGGAATAGTGTATACTTCAGCAATTCTAAACTATCCAGGTTGAGAGAATTTAGCAACCTAAATCCTGGCAATTAAATTATTAGACTTTTAATGGTTTCATACTGATGGTGCTGCCAAGTGACTGGCCTAAGTTGACACAAATCATCTCAAAAAAATTCAGATGGGTTGAAACATACATATCTGTATTATGTGTATCCTAAAATTAATGAAACGTCATGAATGGTAAGGTTCTATTCCAGTTTGTGCAAATGTAGTCTATTTTTTGTTTATCTAAATGTAATCTCAGAAAATGACAAATGTCTTGAATTTATATATAATTGTAGATGAAGAGGACTTAAATAATTTCCCAAAATGCAGCTACTTATTATTTTGGGTTGTTAAGGGTATACTTTTTAAACAGAAGTATTTCTATTTATTTCTAATCAAATGAATATCTGCTTACATTCAGAGATGTAGTTTTTACAGTTTTTCACTGATTAATTTTTTGCATTCATTCATAAGGTAAGTTAGTGGTATAAAGGATCATGGTTTTTAAGTATAAGACTTAATACCCTCTGTGTACTTATTTGTGGAATTTGACTTTAACACCACATTTAAGAGGAACCAAATAAAAAGGCAATCTAATTTTTTATGGGGTGCTTGAGTGGCTCAGTCGGTTAGACGCCCGACTTCAGCTCAGGTCATGATCTCACAGCTTGTGAGTTTGAGATCCGCGTCGAGCTCTGTGCTGACAGCTCAGAGCCGGGAGCCTGCTTCGGATTCTGTGTCTCCCTCTCTCTCTGCTCCTGCCTGGGAGCCTGCTTCGGATTCTATGTCTCCCTCTCTCTCTGCTCCTGCCCCACTTGCACTCTGTCTCTCTCTCTCTCAAAAATGAATAAACATTAAAGTATACTTTTTAAAAAGAGCAATCTAACTTTTTAGATAATCAATTTACAACTTCAGGTTTGCAGAAAGAATGGTTTTGAATAATCAACAAGATTTAAAAAGTTAATTTTTAGACAAAAATAGCTTAGGTTGTGTGATTTCTTTCCAGCAGGAAAAACTTCAGGAAATAATAATGAAGAAAAGAACTTTTGAAGTGCCCACGTGAAGATCTTCACTTTGTTTTGATATCATAAAACAACTGGGCTAATTTAGTTTACATTTTGAGCAACTAATGTGTTGTAGCGTCGATGGAATTGCTTTTATTACTTTACCTTTAATTTTAAAAATATCTGGTAAAGAATGAAACAGGCTTGATTTTATCTAACATTAGGAACTTCCCAAATTGGGATGCTAAGAATGAGCAGATTGTGCAGTGCTCCCCAGTTTCTACTAGGTTTTTTTTTTTTCACACTGGTATTTCTTCTGAGGACATTGTGATAAATGATTAAACTTGTTATTAAAAGAATAGAAATACGCATAGAAAAATTTTTATATAGTATATATACACAAATGGTTGGCCGTTTATGAATAAAGTATGCCAAGTAGAATATCTGAATTAATTATGGTTTTAAGAAGTGTCAAAGTGTCCATAAAATTCAGATATTTAATATTTTAGACAATTTAACTTATGGCTCACATGTATGTGTTCTACCATTCCATTTTCTTCTGTTTCCTAATAACTAAAATTTTGTAATTATAATAATATATTCTCAAAAGTAGCTTAAATTGAAATTTGTGAAGCTCTACATGACTGTGATTTTCTAGTGTACTTTTCATTAAGCTTATATGAACTACTGCTTTGTAGCTTCAAGAGTGATCTGGCTGATGGAATTCATAGTGGCATCATTGTAGCAACTGTGTTAAGAATTTTTCCTTCAACTATTTTGAGTCAACATCCTATTTTCATTGAACTTAAGATGCTATTAGTGGTAAGATACTCCATTATATGATGTGCCCTTAGAAAAAAAACCTAATGAGAAGTCTAAAATACTCTTCAGATAAAGCTGGGAGACCAAGGGGCTGTTTAGTCCCTTCATGTGAAGCAAGAAGTAAACCTGCAGAGGGACAACAAAGTAACTTCTGAATGCCTCAACTTTGGTTATTGGGCTGAGGGAGGGAAAAGTCACTTCTGAGGGTTTGAACCAGAAGTCTCATAAGCTTGCAACCTGGATCAGTTTGTATAAAACAAAATATTGATAACTTAGAAATTTTAAATGGTATCATGTTGATGGTGCTGCCAATGACTGGCCTAAGTTAACACAAATCCTCTAGAAGAATCCAGATGAGTTGAAACATATATCCCCATATTATGTGTATCCTAAAATTAATGTTTAAAAAAGGAAATCGTAACATTTCCACAAAGTAGATTCTTTAGGCTTCGGGGAACAGGCTTTTTGTGATGCTCAGGTGTCTGGAAGAGTTTTTATTTTGTCTAATACTTAAAATAGCTTTTCATAAGAATGTAGTATATTTCGTATTTATGTTTTTGTTCTTTAGCTTCATATTTAAAATATCACAGTTTTTGTCTAAAATTACATTAATAATCTATTTACTTTCAGATGCTCAGTTGTACGTAATTTAAGAATCTTTCCAGTGTTTGTCCAGTTGAACAAGCCTAACTAGTTGCTGCCCCTCAGAATTCACAGAGATGTTGAGGGAGAATTTAGCTTTTTATTTAACACTAAATCTCTATAATCCAATTCCATGAGTTTTAGTCTAAACGCAAATTTTCTAGCTGTTTTAAGATTTGAAGTGTGGGAAGAAAAACAATTGAGAACTCTGTCGGACTGTTTAATGGTTTTCAAATATTGTTTGCTTTAAGTGTCACTGGCCTGTTCTAGTCAACTTTTGTTATATGTAAGGATTTTTGTCCCTTGGTTTTTAAATGGGATTTGATACTGTCTTCTGAAGTCAAGAGTATTTCAAATTGAAATTAGATTCATTTGTACTGCTACCATGTGGAAGTGTTCTGTTACATGATGGAGATTTTACCCCACTTAATTGTCTTTAGTTGTTATGAGAAAATACTTCTTTCCCAAGTTTTCAAAGTTCAGCTTTTCAATTTAGCTTAGAATTCTAATTTTTCGATATGTTGACAGCTTTGGATTTTATATATAGACCATTTTAAGTACCAGATTGTTTCTCTCTGTTGCTCAGTATGCTTCCTCTCATAATCAGTTATTTAGTACTTTAAGAATGCAAAACTACATTGCTATTAGCCTAAAGTAAAACTAGGTGTGAGTATATATTGTTGAGAATAGGGCAAGGAGGGAACAAGCCTAGTTCTCATTTGATTGCTCTGTTTTTTTCTCTTAATGTATAATTATTTCTCTAATTCTTTTAGCCTGGGTAGTGAAAGCTTGTACTTTTGTTTTCAAATTCTGAACCTTTTTTTTTTTTTTTTCCAACTATTAATTTCACCATATATTCCAAGTACTGGTCACATGTTTTCTGTCAGGTTCTTGTTTCATGATGTTTAAGCAATTTATCGGGTATTTTAAGGAACAGAAAACCTTTTTGTTTGTTTTTTAATCCATTAATACAATGATACTTCATTTTAATGGTACTTTAGCCTCGTTTTGCTCTGAGTTGATTTTCTCAAATAATAAAATTCAGTATACAAGTGTTCTTATTACCTTTAGTAGACTTTATATGTTCCTGTTGACCAATATACTTGTTTGTATTTCCTATTTCTCCCAATTTTCATTTAATTTGAAACTAAATACCTACTTACTGTGTTCCAGTACCTATGATTATTATATACGATTTTTATCCCCCTCCATGTTTTTCTTAGATTTTTTCCTATTACAATCAAAGTTATAATGTGGGATTATACTAATATGGATGACTGTTGGGTCAAAATCCCTTGGAAATTTATGTTAATCTACATGTTTTTCTAATTCATTTTTGGTAGTAAAGATTCATTCATAGTTTTGGATGGCAGACATTGGTAGGCTAGATTAACCTCCAAAACTAGTATTTTCTTTCTTCAGATATTCGTTTATGTGCTTTATTAAGTTTTTCTTTTCAAGAGAAGGCATAGGTGATTTATGTCTGAAGTTAGGGGTTTTTTACATATTTTTTAGTCATTGAATTTTAAGTACCTTTGATCTAGAATTTTTTAAAGAGCCAGATTACTGTAAAATTTATTTACTACAGATATTAAAAGTCAAAGGTGAGAAATAGAAAAAATTATTGTCTCCAAACAAGGGAGAAAAACATGAGTGAGGAGTTAAAATTAAAAGGACGTTAATATTCTCAAATTTACATTGGAAATAAAAGTGCAAACTTTTAAGTTTATTTGTTAAAATAATTTTAACTATACATATAAATTATGGCAAATATTAAAATAGCTCATTGATAAAATACTTCATTCATTCAACAAGCACTTACTAAGCATACTATTCATGTAATAATAGTGTTAATTGGGTTTAAATCTTGAGGTGTACATATTAACTTTGATAACCAGATAGATTCTTAAAGTCCTGTTAAATGCTTTGGTTTTATATAGTAACCTTTTTTTACTTTTATTCTAGATGCCTGGAATGATGTCTTCAGTAATGCCTGGAATGATGATGTCTCATATGTCTCAAGCTTCCATGCAGCCTGCCTTACCGGTAATCCAGTAAAAGTGATTTTCTGTGATGTTTTGACTGCTTTACCACTTTTATATATGATGTAACATGCTATATATAATTTTTTATAGGCTGTCATGTTAGCTTTTTAAGTATGTCTTGAGTACTGTAACACAAAATGGGAATTACAGTGGGCTTTTATCTTTTTAGGTTCTTCAGTGATAGACATTCACATTTTTTCCTGTACTTATGTGTAATCTTTAGTTTTTAATCTATGTTAAACAAGAGTAGAATAACTAAGAAGTATAACCTATCCAGTAGAAGCATTTTATTGGTTTGGTTGCATTTTGGGGGGCCGAGGGGGGGACAGGAGAGAGAGAGCGCACATGCATGCAAGCAATTGTGCCCAAAAAGGGCAGGGGCAGACAAGGAGAGAGAACATCTTAAGCAGGCTCCCTGCCCAGACCAGAGCCCAACATGGGGCTTGATCTGACAACTATGAGATCATGAACTAAGCCAAAATCAAGAGTCAGATACTTAGTCCACTGAGCCACCCTGCCCCTGGTCTGGTAGCATTTTAATCTTAAAGAGTAGACATTTGCTTTATGGAGTGTTAATTAAAAATTGATGTAGTGGGATTTAGTACTCGATCGTAGACTTAGAAATCAGAAGGTTTTATTCGAAATTTATCTTACATGAGACTTCAGTGATGGCACATTACTTAGAAAATGCTTGACAGCCTTTTCACCCTTATTGAATTGTATAGCAATATGTATATCATTATTATATTCATATGAGCATAACTGATTTATTACCTGGTAGCCTAGTGGTTGTAATGAGTAGATGTGGCATACTCCACTGGGGTGGTAAATTTGCAAAGGTCTTATCCAAAACCCTTGGGCCAAATATATTCTTAAGTTGTTTAATATTGTAAAATTGTACTTTGTGTACTCTATATATCATATAAAGGTTTCCCTCAGGGTGTTTGGACAGTGCCTTAAAATTTCGAACACAATATTTCTGTAGCAGTATCTTAGGGATATTCTGTCTGGAGTGGGATAAATAAAGACAAAGAGCTCGTGTCATTCAGGGCAGATTTTGCCACTCTAATGAGTGTTGATTTGAAACTTGAAAAAACTTGGTTTTTAGAGCTTTTTCTGTTTCAGAATTGTGGGTAAAGGGTTGTGGAGCTATATGTAACTGATGATCACATAAATAAAACACTTAGATTGAAGTGCTTCAGTAGCCCCAAGTTATTGGTGCTTTTACAGTTTATAGCAAGCTCAGGGAACTAATACCACTGAAACTTACTGAGAAACTTTGAATCAGTGGCTTGAGAATTATACATAAAGGGGACTGATTGTGCTTTATGAGGAACATATATAAAATATAGTTTAAACAGGTGAATATTACTAATTTCATTTTTTTTCTTACAGCCAGGAGTAAATAATATGGATGTAGCAGCTGGTATGTATGCCATTTATGGTTTAAATATTAAACTTCATTTGAACAGTAGCTGTCGTTTTATTATAATAAGTAATAAAAGCAGTGTCTCTTGGGGCTTTATGATTAACTTCTGATTCTTTTTTCTTTTTTTTTTTAAGCCGTGGGAAACAGGGGTAGCATTCATAATTTAATCCATAAAAAATTACTAGATCTGGAGTCCTGGGACCAGATTTCGTCTATAGTTACTCTTTACCCAAATGTTTTTAAGTTTTATAATTAGTTGACAACATTTAAAGTCTGTGGGCCCTATGTAAGAATTAAATGTATCTTTTTACACAAAGATTTGAATTTATCTTGAAAAATGGGATTATCTGAATATTCATTGTTGACAGTGGTCCTTGTGAACACAGTAGGTAATCAGAGAATATTTGAATGAGAAATTCTGGTTGAGCCCATACTTTTACTCCGCAAACATTGTGGAATGAGGTAGTAACTCCTTCCTTTAGGTATGAAGGCCAACTCTCATTGGCCTTCTGGACTACTTCGTCCTTGTAGCCATTGGAGTTTGTAAACCTTGTGGTAAAGCAGCCAGTTATCAATAACTGTTTGTTTCACCTAGTGTACTTTCCATATATAATAGTAGTGCCTCAATTATCCATGAATAAATAATGTTCCAGGTAAATTGGTTTTACAGATGCTCAGCCTTATTCCATGATTATGCCAAAACATTTCTTGTTTTAAACATGGTTTGAAACATTTAAAATGCACTATGTTGTGCTTTTCTGCAGGTTTATATGGGGCATAATTGGTCTTTTTAAGATACTTCACAAATTTATTTAAGCTGAAATGATGTTCTGAAATACATAGTATAGTATTTTGCCTATTTAGATATCTAGAGCTGATTACTGTTACTATTAGCCTAAATAGTCCTGGAAAATCACCTTAAAAATTTTTTTTTTAACTGAAGTATAAGTGATATACAATATTCTATTAGTTTTAGTTGTAGAACATTTTGATTCGATATTTTAATACGTTACAAAATGATCCCCATAGTAAGTCTAGTTACCATTTGTCACCATCCAGAGTTACTATAATATTATTGACTATACTTCCTGTGCTGTTCATTCCATTGCCTTATTTTACAACTGGAAGTTTGTATCTCTTAATCCTGTTTGCCTATTTTGCCCTCCCCTCTTTGGTAACCAACAATTTGTTTCCTGTGTCTGTAAGTCAGAAACAGACTCATAAAATTTCTTCTTAATTACTTTTTAAATGCCTTAGCTCTACCAGTGATATCCATAGTAGCTTCCTTTGATTGTTCTCAGTATATATATGTGTGTGTGTGTGTTTACTTTGTTTTATTCTCTTTTTACATATACTTTCTTTTTTTACACGTAGTTTTAAATTACTAGTTTCTAAAGTTAAAGCTTATTCATTTGAACTTGGTGACTAATGGGGATTTCCCCTTATGTCTAAAGGGGTTTTGATAATAATATAGGATAGTACCATCTAATAGACCTTTCTGCAGTGTTGGAAATGTTCTGTAATATGTACTGTTGAATACAGTAGTCAATAGCCACGTGTGATTACTGAGTCCATGAAATTGGCTAGTGCAAAAGAACTGAATTTTTTTATTTTATTTAATGTTTTTTAAAAATTTTAACCTAAGCAGACGTGTGGTAGCTACTGGATACTGTATTGTACACCACAAGTATGGAATTTATATAGTGGAAGTTGCCAGAAATCTAAAGCATAGAATCTGAAGTCTGACGTATTATATTTCAGTACTGTAGTAGAGAAAGGAATTAGTCAAGATAAACACCTATAACAGCAAGACGAGAAACAAAAGGCAGAAGTTGTGAATACTTCTCAAACTGGATCCAAGTGAGTTTTCATTTTGCAGGTTCAAAGTGCCACTTTATTCTGAAAATGCTTTAGGCTGTAGTATTTGTTTTGTGGAAAAGAGAGCATGCACATAGGTCACATGGAACAGCCTTATATTTAGTTTGCTAGGATAAGGCAGAAGAAATAGTATGAACAAATACTTTAAAACTGTTCACTCAAGAAGAGTATGATTTATCACATTGTAAATATTCTTTTTTTTTTTTTAAAGGTACAGCGTCTGGTGCAGTAAGTACCTCTGGAATATATTTATTTCATTATACTTCTTTAGCCTACATTGATCCTTATTTCTGTTTTAAAGTTTATCTACTAAAGTTGAATCTTTTTTTCTTTTCTATGGCAAAGGTTGAAAAATTGTTTGAGGGGCACCTGGATAGCTCAGTTAAGTGTTTGACCCTTGATCTCAGCTCAGGTCTTAATCCTAAGGGTGTGAGTTCAGACCCCATGTTGGGCATGAAGCCTACTTAAAAAAAAAAAAATTGAATGATTTACCTTAAAATCTAATTTTTATGAGACTTAATGAGAAAAAAAGGGATCAGCTACGTACCAGATTTTACAAAGATTTTAATTTCCCTGGTACGATTAGAAGGGAAACAGAACTAGTAGGAACACAGTAATTAACCAATAATTTTCACATAAGGTTTATATTAGAACGTGCTTTCATATACAAACATTTGTGTGCCCTTGTTTATTACTATAAGTCTTACATAAACTTTTCCTAATACACAGAATTTTAAAATACTTTTTTGCTTGTACCTTCCCTAATTGTGTCAGAAAGACTAATACGATATTCAGAATTGCTTGACTTTTCCCTCCCTTAGGGAAGGAGAGAATGATACCTCTATGCTGCATTTCTTTTTCTCCATACTTGATTTTAAGATAGTAGTTACAGTTATTTTTGTTAATATTTCGGTATGTGGTGTTCTGTTACATATTTTTATGATGTTTGGGAAAATAAGCTTGAAAGCCTTACTTAAAGATTCCTATTTTATCCTTCTTGATAAAAGCCATAGCTTTTGGCCTCAAGGTTTTCTTTGATTTTTGTGTTTTTTAATTCCTTAAAGATCAATGGAAAGAAGACTTCATATGTATGATCTCATTTAATCAAAATAGTCCTGAGAGGTAGCTGTTATCCTCATATTATGGTTGAGGAAATACAGAAAGCTGTGACTTGATTATAAATGGGTTAATATTTTAAATATGGGGGGAAGACTTTTAATTGTGAACTGTATTTAAATGTTTTAAAGTTTCTTGTATCTTCTGTTTTTTAAAGTTGAATGGTTTTTAAATGTCCATGTCGTATTCTTCCATTGTAAGTGCCTTTTTGTATTTTTGACTAGTGATTGCTGCATGTTTTTCCTATTGATTTAAATAATGCAGGCTCACTTGAGGGATTAAGAAGCAAACATAAGTTAGAAGAAAGTAAATTTCACCCTAAATGTTTCCACCTTGAGGGGACCACCACCATTAATGTTTTGGTTGTGTCCATTGTCTGTGAAACCCCTTTTTCCCTCAACTGGAAGAATCTGTTCTATCATATATTAAGTTTGTACATACTCTGACATCTGTTTCTGAGTTTTCTTCTGCATTGGCTGTATGTATTTGTTTTTCATCCAATTTCTCACGTTTTCCAGTTAAAATAACTTTAATATTTAGTAAGGCGAGTCTTCATGGTTTCTCTTTTCATTATTTCCTTAAATGGTTTTGGATGTTAGTACATGAATTCTTGTATCCCCCTCCAAAAATAATCTGTAAGTATATGCATACCCACACACACTCAAAAGACAAAATTGTGTTTTTATCTGGGATTATATTTAATTCATTTCAGTTTTGGGAGAATTGACATTTTCTACTTTTCTATTAAATTTTCCCATCTAAAAATACTGTATATTTGAAAATTTCTTTTTGCTTTAATTCTTATTAGATTTCAGGTACACAAATTTGAGTTACTTGAATCTTCAGATGATAGTCATTGTCATTGATCCTGAGAGGATTCGTCACATTTTTTCACTTTATTCTTCATCTTCACTCCCATCTACCCTCCTGAATAGGTGATCACTTGGATACATGTGCTCAGAAATGCATGTATTGGGAAAAGTTCAGGAAATTTTTTGTGTAGATTTTTTGGGTGTTTTTTCTTGTTCTTATTTCTTTATAGTCTTTATGTTTATTTTTTTACAACATAATAATTTGATATTTGTATCCATTTTGAAATGATCACAATACATCTAGTTAACATCTGTCATTATACCTGGTTACAGATCTTTTGTTCTTGTGATGAGGACTTTTAAGATGTACTCTCTTAATCGTCAAATATACAACACAGTATTAATAGTAATTACCATGTTGTGCATTACATCTCCATAACCTACTTATTTTAAAATAAGTGGAGATTTGTACCTGTTTACCCCCTCCACCGATTTTGAACCTCCACACGTAATCTGTTCTCTGTATCTGAGTTTGGGTTTTTTAGATTCTGCATGTAAGTAAGATCTTAAGGTATTTGTTTTTCTCCCTCTGACTTCTCTTACTTAGCATAATGCCTTCAAGGCCCGTCTGTGTTGTTGCAAATGGCAAGATTTCATCCTTTTTATAGCTGAATATATTTTTGTGCGTGTACCACATCTTTATCCATTCATCCATCTAGGGACATTTAGGTTATTTCCATATCTTGGCTGTTGTAAATAATAATGCTGCAATGAACCAAGGGGTACATAAATCTTTTCAAGTTAATGATTTTGTGTTCTTTGAATAAATGCCCAGAAGTGGAACAGCTGAATAGTATGGTAGTTCTACTTTTAATTTTTTGAAGAGCCTTCATACTATTTTCTGTAGGGGCTACAGCATTTACATTCCCACCAGTGGTGCATGAGGATTTCCTTTTCCCCACAACATGGCTAACATTTATTATCTCTTTTTGAGAATAAGCATTCTAACAACTGTAAGGTGATATCACATTGTAGTTTTGATTTGCATTTCCCTGATAGTGATGTTGAGCATCTTTTCATAAGTCTTTTGGTCATCTGTATATCTGCTCTGGAAAAATGTCTATTCAGATCCTCTGCCTGTTTTTTAATCAGATTTTTAGGGTTTTTTTGTTTTGGTTTTTTTGCTGTTAAGTTGTATGAGGTCTTTATAGGTTTTGGATGTTAGCCCTTTATCATATGCATGTTTTGCAAATATTTTTCTCTCCTTCAGTAGGTTGCTTTTTCATTTTGTTGATTTCCTTTGTTGTGCCAGAGGTTTTTAGTTTGATGTAGTCCACTTGTATATTTTGCTTTTGTTATGTTTGCTGTGGAATCAGATCCAAAAAAATGATTGCCAAGAGTGATGATCAAGGAGCTTTGCCGCCTTTTTTCTAGGAGTTTTAGGGCTTCAGGTCTTACATTCGAGCCTAAATCCATTTTGGGTTGATTTTTATGCATGATGGAAAATACTAATCTAACTAGTTAGTTTTATTTTGCATGCAGCTGTCCTTTTCTTGTATATTTTTGCCTCCTTTGTCGTAAATCAACCATACATAAGTTTATTTCTGAGATCTTGATTCTGTTATACTATCTAGATATCTGTGTTTATGCCAGTACTATATACTATTTTGATTACAATACCTTGGTAATACAGTTTGAGAGCAGGGAGCATGATGCTTTGTTCTTCGGATTACTTTTTAGCTATTCAGTCTTTTTGTGGTTCCATCCAAATTTTAGGACAGTGTGTTCTATTTTTTTTTAAAGTGTCATTGGTATTTTGATAGGGATTACATTGATTCTATAGATTGCTTTATGTAGTATGGACATTTGAACAATATCAGTTTTCAATCCATGAGCATATGGAACATCTTTTCCATTTATTCAGTCTTCAGTTATTTTCATCAGTATCCAGTTTTCAGCGTACAGGTCTTTCACCTCCTTGCTTACATTTTTTCCTAGACATTTTACTATTTTTGGTGCATTCATAAATGGAATTTTTTTTTTCTTAATTTTTCTTAACTTTGTTCGTGTTTAGAAATGCAACAGATTTTTGTACCCTGCAATGTTACTGAATTTCTTTCTAACAGGTTTTTTGGTGAAGTCTTTAGGTTTTTTATATATATATTTTTTTTCTATAAATGACATTATACTATCTAAATTTTTTAATCAGTTTGTCAGGTTGTCCAAAAAGATAATTTTGGTATTTTGATTGGCGTTGCATTGAATTTATAGATTGTGGGGCGTATTTACAATATTAAGTCATATCAGTGAACATGGTAGTCAGTTTTTTTGTCTGTTTTGTAATACGGCTTTAAGTTTTTCCTATTGAAGGCTTGTCTATCCCTCATTCTGTTAATTTATAGATGTTTTATAAGATTTGGTGCTATTTTGAATCTTTCTCCTATACTTTATCCAGGAGGTTTGCTGAACTCCTGTTGCTTTTTGGGTTTTCTGTGTGTGTTACACTATCTTCCTCAAATAACGAGTTTTTCTAATCATCATATCTAATATTTCAACTTTTATTGTGTCAGCCAGAACCTCTAGTACTATGGTGAGTAGTAGCAGTGATAAACTGTCATCTTTATCTTGTTTTCTCTCTCAAAGCAAATATGTATTGAATTTCTCTATTTAATATGTTTACTGCAGCTTTTTGATGTATGACCCTTATTAAGTTGATGCTTTCTTTTCCTGGTTTGCTGAGAGAGAGGTCATTATGAACTGGATTTTAAAACTCATAGTTGAGATGGTCATGGTATTTCTTCTGTAGTCTGTTAAAGTGCACGTGTACAGATGTATTTTCTGATATCTCATCTTAGCATTACTAAAGTGAATCCTAGTTATTCATTAAGGGTGTTAAGAATATATATACGTGAACCTGTGTATTTATTCCTTCTGAATTCAATTCGCTAATATCTTACTTAGGTTGTTTCTATCTGGGTAGTAACCCTTTTCTTTCTGATCCTTAGAACAACTTATATAAACGATGCGTAACTTATTTCTTAACAGCTTGATAGAACACAACTAAAAACTAACTGGGCCTAATATTTTTTGAGGATAGAGATTTTGGATTACCATTTCAATTTCTCTGGTGGTGGTTGAGCTATTTCACTTTTAATTTTCTTCTAATTTATGTTTTTACAGATACCTACTTTGTTGAGATTTAATTATTTAGCATAGAGTTAGAAATCCTATCATTGCTTTTACTTTGTATTTTGGAGGGGACAACCATTCAGCTTATTCTGAGGTCATCTTTATTTCCTT